GGTGGCCGAGGTGACATCGGGTGGGGAGAAGGAGAGGGGGGCACGGGACGGGGCTGGAGGTAACCCCCAGCATCTCTGAATTCCCCCATGGGGTGGCGGGGGGGGATGGGATGGGAGGAGGGTTCCCACTCAGGCGAGTGCTGGCCCCGGTCCCCAGGGGGGTGTCCCAGCCCCGGCCACCCCCGCTCTCTCCTCCACGGGCCACCTCAGAGTATCCCGGGTGCTTCTGGGGACACAAGCCATCCCGGTGGCACCCAGACAGGCCGTGGCAGTGGTCACATCCCCGGGGATGGCCCCATCCTTCCCTAGGTGATTTTTCCAGCTGGAAAAGGAACCTGGTTCCCACTTGGTCCAAGCGCCCGGGGCTGGGGTGATCCCATCGCACAGGGGGACCAGGCTAAGCGTGGCCAAGCTCACAGTGGGGCTGGAGGGAGGGTGAGTTGTGCCGGGGCAAGTGCCACAGCCAAAAAAAAACCCACGGCAGAGCTGGGCTGGGCGGGCAGGAGGTTGTTAACACTGAAGCCTACTGATGGCCAGTGGCCCGGGCTGTGTAGTTGCCCGAGGAAGCAGGCTGGGAAAAGGAAGGGCAGGGCTGGCGACCACTGCCGCGCTGGCAGGGGTTAACACCGGACTGTTCCACTCGGGTGGTTCAGGCAGCAAAGGGAGGAGGAAGAGGAGGAGGAAGATGTCACCCGTCGATCTGTCATTTCTCTCTCCCAGTCAGGATGGGGGACACCGCTAGCACCAAACTGGGCCGGTGGTGAGGAGGGGGGGTCTGAGGGAAGAGGATGGAGAGGGGGGGGTGAAGGTGAAGGCAAGCCCTCCCCAAATAGCCTCCACCCTTTCGGGCTATCGCCATGGCGACAAATTTTAACGACATCATCAAGCAAGGCTACGTGAGGATGAAGAGCAAAAAGCTGGGGGTGAGTGGGAGGCCTGGGTGAATGGGGGGGGACATGCACGGATATGGGGGCCCAAAGAGCTCAGCCACGTTGCCTCTTGCAGCATCTGCCCCCCTGTTTTTGGGTCAGATAAGTGACATTTTGGTGGCTGTGGTGGCAGGGGGGGCGGCACTTGTTGGTACCCAAATCATCTCACAGCTCCACGGGGCCTGATCCTGCACCGTGTGGCATCTCCACACTGGACATGGGTCACCATGGGGATTTGGGGGGGGGGAGTGGCCCCGGGC